GGAAAAATGTTAACGCTAACTATGACAACCTTAACCCCCACCCTGCCCTAACCATAACCATAAGTAACCAAACATAATACAAGTTTCTGCATTTTTAGTTTTTTCATAGCAGTCACCGATTTTTATAAAATAGAATTTTCCCTTATGGGGACCGGTTTCCTGGTTTGTATCCCCATAAGGACAGGTAAACCCGCTCGCACACACACACACACACACACACACACACACTATGAAACTATGAAACAATTACTATGAACTATGAAACAATTACCAAGAAGACTGTATTTTATAAAGTCGCTGGCTCCAGCCCCAACATCAACTAAGTCTTACATTGTTTCATTGTGGCTTACATGTAGATTGCATTTAAATATGATTACAATTGTAGCCAGTTATCAGTTACACAAAACTTTTAAAGATATTTGACTTTCTTTTACGTTTACAGTTTTTATTAATGATAATTATATAAATGAATCTACTCAGAAACTAGTTTTCTTTTCTCACTCTTTTTCCTGAACACAATTCCAGCATTTTGTAGCTTTTTGTATTATTTTCATCGTAGTGTAATTGATATATGGGATTCTGAATGTAAATTTTTAGCCTTACTGAGTAACATTGGGTCATGATATGCGGTAACATTGCTGATATTTTGCCACCTTGAAGTCTATATAGCTAAATTAAAGATTCAAGATTTTAATATACTGTATATGAAGGCAAGCATTCAGAACTATCCCTCAATTCATGTTATTGTATAATTCATTGTATAATGCTATTAAATATCCCAATATGAAAAAAAAGCTATTTACAGTAGGATTAACAAACTGCCACATGATTACTGAAAATGTACAAGACCCACTCAAACATATAGTATCACAGTTTTGGAATTCACGCAAAATATTCGATTCTAATCTAGTATTTTTTGATGAAATGACATCGGCACCTTATTTGAACAAGGTTAGTACCCAATATTTTATGACTGCAAATGAATTCACAAATTAATCTGCCAAATACATTATCCCAGTGCGTGTATAACAGACACATAAAAATGTGAAAAAGGAGAGTTCCCAAGCTTTGTTAAATTGTAAAAAAAACAATAAAGAGCAGGTTTGAGTGAATTTATATTACACCAATAGGTTTAATTGATCTTTTATGAATTTTACTGATTTTCTCTAAATGATAGTATTGCTTATTTGGACTCCACTAAAGCAGTTTCCAAAATGTGTTTCAGTGGCTCACAGACAATGGTACAGAAGCCAGACACCTGAAATATTTCCAATGGAACCACTGCAGGGGGTCTTGGAGTGCCAGGGGAAAGAGAAAATTCACATTACTTCACCAGATGGCAAAAACTGCCTCAGTACAGCAAGGCAATCTGCAGTCATTTGATAAGGTGAATCTACACCCTGAAACCTTGGTTTTCTTTATATGGGTTTATTACGGTATTATGTAATACAGCCATTGGCAGAAGACTCAAAATTACTTTCCACACTTCATAATATATATTGTATTGCTTGACAGAAATGAAGTCATTGTGCTTTTAAAGAGTGCAAAATGTTTGTAGAAGGCAAGCTGTTGGCCCGCAGCTTTTTCCACATATGAAAGTGCAAAGGAAAATATCATTTTGGCTAAACGCTCGTAAGTAGGGGAGTGGAATGTTTGGGTGCTAGAGATTTTCAATTAGACTGCAGAAAAAGGGTAACAGACCAGAAAAACAATTATGTTGAAGGAAAAACATATGTAGTAACTCCTACTACACGTCTCTGTTGCTGAAAAGAACATAGTCGGTGGGATTAAGAAAGAATAGTGATGTGTCATCATCTTCAATGAACAGAAATGCTCAAAGGGAAATATTTTGGTAGGACTGCATAGGATTCTGGGGCTTTTTTTAGCGGAGCCTTGACTATTTATATGGAAAAGCTCAAGCAGAAGAATGAGCATTAATGTTTAATGTTCCATGCAATGGCTTTATTAAACTAAAGCCAAACAAGCCTGAAACAATGAAAAAAACAGTCCAAAATTTTCTGCTTCATTGGCTTCACTCCTTCACAAGTTGCCTTTTTGATCTCTTAAGACTTGTATTTGAGAAATCATTTTCAGCAAGCCAAAGGTCCTCACTGAAGTCTACTCATAGTAGATATTGAAGGTCAAGTTCATATGTGGATACACAAAGTGAATTTTGCAAAACTCTTTCACGGCTCCTTAAAGTTTGGCCAAAGCCCTATAATGACTGTGATTTGCTAGGTATTAATGTAATCTCACCTGGATTGCTGCTCCTTGCGTTTCTGAATGAGGTACTTCTTCTTCACATTCTGCAGCTCGTGAGCCAGTCTCTCCATGTCACACTTGTACTCCTGTGTTTGTGATTCGTACATGCTTAACTCCGATGACAAAGCCTAAAAAAACAGAGAAAATCAATAGGTTTTCATGCCATCATTCCTGTGCCAAAAATTACCAAAGGTATTTTTCATTTCAAAGCTAATTTAAATGTAAGTAGCTTCTAAATTATAAAGAGAAAAACAATGTCAAAGACGATATGTATTAAGTATATTTTACTGCTAACTTATTAATGAACCTATTATTATTATTATTATTATTTTATTGCAGTTTCTGTTGCTATATTATATTATATTATATTATATTATATTTAGGGCTGTCAAAATTAACGGGTTAACGCGGATTAATCCATCATCATGATTAATCTGATTAAAATTTTTAACGCAATTAACCGATCTGTAGTGCAGAATGACTCAAAATCACTGAAATGTCTCTGTCAATCCATTTCGGGCAGTTTTGGTGCGTTCCATTAGCCCTCGGAACTCACATTCTGAATCAGATTCCGAGTTTTGAAGCCGGAAGTGACGACATGCGCTCTCCCGTTTCTTGGAGATCTGAGAAATATCTCAGAGCAGCACAGAGGATCCCGAGTTCAGAATCAAAGATGGCTACGCCGTTTATCAATAGAAGGGAAAGTTGTAGTTTTATACTGTTTAAGCACTACTTCTCATTTGTGGCTCATTAAATCGGTCGTACACACTATACTGTCCAACTTATCTGTGGATGTGTTGCTACGGAGTTTTATACGTAAAGCACCGCGCATAATGTGTTATCAACTGATATTGCTAACAATGGCAATTAACCGGGCTAGAATTGGATTTCATGATTAGTCAGATTATTTGTCGGATTTACGGTAGTTTGGGCTAATTGTAAGTGAAAGAAGATAAAGACCATTTAAACTGAGGTACCTTAAATCTGTTGTCGGGCTAAGCAAAAAATCTTGCTTTTTGATATGGGTTCATGGTATTGCACTTCTGTGGCAGATGGATTGCATCCGACTCGTGTTCAGATGTTCAGTAAACATGTTAAGTGCATATATATTCCATTTTTTCTTGAATCTGTTTGCTCATACAAAATGAAATGGGATTAATATAGATTAAAAATGAATGATATTTAATCGTGATTAATCGAAATTAATCCACAGCAACCCTGTGAATAATCTGATTAAAAAATTTTATCGTTTGACAGCACTAATTATATTATATTATATTATATTATATTATATTATATTATATTATATTATATTATACAGCACAGGCAGTCCCTTTGTTAACAACGTCTAACAGACAACTCACATGTAATAACGAATGCACGCACAACTTTGTGACGCTTGTTAAAATGGCTTCAATCCTTCATTGGCTAGAGGTACAATAAGATTCATATGTAGTTACTCTTATTATTACAATATAATTATTATTATGTACTGTATTATTATTTTTCCAACTTTCCAACAAATTCAACTTAAATACAGACTTAGATCTCGTTTGTAACCGGGGGACTGCCTGTATATCGCACAAGCATATTTCACAGGTAATGTTTGATTTCACCTTGATCTCTTTTTTACAGACTACCTATGTGTCTTACACTTGTTTTAGTTTTCAGTGTGTCTGTTTGGTTTGCCAAATGCTTCAAAGATGTTGACTGAATTGCTTAGGAACCAAATCAGACAAAAATCAGTCTTTACACACCACTGCACAGAAAATAGGCTGTGTGTCCTTTCAGGGTGAGTGTAGAACTGTTACGTGGAACTGTGGAAATTAAGAAACGTAGCATTTGCAACCTGGAAATCCTTCTGCATTATGCTCATATGACCGAATTCTGAAATCATTACCATTTATATGAACATTAATATTAAATAGGAGCAAAATCTAATCTAAATCGAAGTGAACAACACAGACTATAATTTATGCCTGACTGAACTGTGAACTCTAATGAAACTCCTTTATTTGTAATTGTAAGGTTTTTTTTTTAGATATATATCATCTAAGGAACTGTGATGGGTTGGTGCCCCATCCTGGGTTATTCACTGCCTTGCACCCCAAGTTTTTGGGACAGGCTCCGGTCCCCCACAACCCTGCATAGGAAAAGTGGGTATAGAAAAGGGATGGATGGATGGAGCTTAAGGTCCTCAATTTCAGTTTTATTGTTATTTCAGAACTACAACCCACTGTTATATAAGCAGGATGAGAAATGTATTAACAGATTTGCTATAACTATAAAATTTCATCCAATACACAAAATTGTCTATATTTAAATTATTAAATTCTCTAATGACGAAGTAGGAACAGACCTTGGTTACACACCCAGCAAAGCCATTTTCTGTAAAACTATCCATTTTTCTGATTAAGATGATATATATTGTATATCATTATTACTTTAGTGTTTCTTTGTTTAGTTAAACTCACCAGTCGTGCCTGAGGTATACAAATAATTAAGCCTAGCAATAAATTATCACTAAATGAATTTTTTAACCTCTAGGCATTAGCAATCCTTATGTATCATAGTCACAATGTTATTTGCTGCATGCTGCAGATATTCAAAAGAATAACAAATTCTGCAGTATATTTAAAATTATTTTAAAGGGGCAACATTCTTTGTCCTGAATATATCAAGGTTACCTCAGGCTCTGTACACCTTACTCATAACTATTTAATTTTTCCCCCCAATTTCAACTTTAATGGCATATGAATTATATTCGAAAGCGGACAAAATTCATTGCCTGGGTTCCGCCCCAAACCCTCAACGCCAGTAACTTTGCCACATTAGATTGGGCTTGAGCTCTTATTTAAGAGAGCTGACTAATTATTCATTTAAGGGAGCCCATTCAACTCCTGTAACTAATCTGAAAGGAGTAATGATTTATGGGCCTGTGAGACCCTCAGTAGGCAGCAGGCCCTCGAGGTACAAACCTCCAGAAAACCACACTGGCTTATACTTCTATTCTTAACTGCTACAACTGAACCGAATTAACTGAAGTAAAGACACATGCGAGACGAAACCAGCCAGAACCTTGAGCTGCTTGGTCTTCTCCCTCAGTGTCTGCTGGTAGATCTGAAGCTGCTCCGCAGCCTCTGGACCAGGCCGCCTGGCCAGAATGTGCTTCAGCTCCACATACAGCTTCTCCTTCTCCTGCAAAGGGAAGGAAACATCAGTGTACAAGTGACCTTCCGGAACGTTTCTTCTATTTTCATCTATTATTGAAAATACCATCTCTCACTGAAAAGAAAAGGAAGATTCAAAAACAGGACGTGAAAGCATGACTAATGAAGTGGGTGCACAAAAAATAATTGATGTGCAGACCACAGCCACATAGAGGACCTGCATTTTAACACCTACAACCATCATTTGCTGTGGAATATCATTAATCGAGCAAGGGATCATCTCTGATCAGGTCTTGTTCATTGAAATGCAATAAGGTTTTAACATATTCTCGCTCATCCCTATATTTAAACTTGATTTAATAGAATATTAATAACAAAAGAAGACAGAATTTCATAGAATTGTAATCCACAAAATGTTCTGTTCCAGTGGCCACACATGTTTGTTCAGTATTTAGGTTACTAATTCTCATAAGCTCCATATACATAGCTAATACTGTAAATGCAGGAAAAAACAGCGAGATATATAATGATTTATGAGAGTAGTGTTAGAGCAATAGTGCTCAACTGGCAGGTTCAGCGAGAGGTAAACTGCTCCATCGGGGATAGGCAGAGTTTAAAACCTATACTGTGACTTAATCCATCATTCCCCAGCCAGTTTGAACCAGATTGGTGAAGATTCCTACATGTTAGAATAAAGCAAGTTATCATTTCAATGTTTAAGAAAAAAATGTATTCTCTCTTTTAGCTTTGTGTGCTAACAAGCAATGTGACACACCATCATTATAAAAATATCAAAACTTTCATCAGGTTAATATTAATATTTTTTTTTAAATCACTTGAGGAACGATTGTGCTGAGTGAGTGGAGAAATACTCAAAAACTTCAACAGATAATGAGACTAGAAAATGGCTTCCCAAGTGACTGCTCTTCCTTGCTGAGCATAACTACACTACCTGTTGTATTATTTTTGGTGAAACAAATGGGACAGCTCCAAAACTTCAACTGAACATAAGATATCTTTCAGCCATCCCTGAAGATACTTTGCACTTCTAGGACTGCAAATGTCTGAACAATGCAAGAACAAGCAGGTGTGCTCTTAAAACTAATACTGCTTTCCTAATTAACCAAAAATACTTCTGCTCCAAAAACATGAAGTACTCCAATTACGAAAACACTTTGGTGATTCTCAGACATTTACAATACATCTGTAGAATTGGTAATTAAACACCGAACAGCCACTGAAATAACAGCAACTTATACACCATAATAGTCATAATAAAAACATTCATGTGCTAATTGTTAATCCTGGTCATGGTCACAGAGGGGCTTCGAGCCTACCCCAGAGAGCATAGGGCACACCCCAGATGCGATTCACATACACAAACTATGTGCATACACCATGTGCAATTGGTTTAACTGCATGTCTTTGTATTGCAGTGGTATCTGGAGGAAACCAGTGCAACACAGGGAGAACATGCAAATTGCACACACATGCAGTGCAGGTGGGCCTCGAAACCCTCAACTGTAGATACAACAGTCCTACCCACAATTGCACCCATAAAATAATAATAACAATTATATTCACCCTAAAAGACCCATGCTGTCTCCATCAATTATAATGAACTACCACCATCTGAAAGCTTGTTTACACTATACAGTAGCTTGCATTCTTGTGCAAGTGAATGAATATGTTACCTCTTAAAGTAATGCTGCTCCTTGCCAGTTGTTAACAAAACTGAGGACCAAAAGATGTTCATTTAAACTTACAGTTATTTCCCTTGCCGCCAGCTCCACACAGCTTCAGCTTTGTTGGCTCAGTACAGTTCAAAACTCACTTTTGTCACATCTTGGAAGAATGCGCTGGAAGCCCATCTGGAGACTTATAATGGTTTTTCATCCGGACACCGATGACCAAGTGATGCATGATAGTCAGATTGGATTTACCTCTTGGAATTGATCCTAAACTTTTTTTTAGTCAATGAATTATTTTGCGACGTGTTCCACATATTGTAACTAAATCTATCAAAACCCATCCTAAGAAATACTTCACCTATAAAGAGCATTGTCTTCGTATTTTTATCTCTCTAAAAAAACGTTCAAACGTTAAGCCAGCTACGTACCGAGCATCTTTCATGTTACTGTTTTACTGGAGCATGCAGTTTAAGTGTTATATACAGTGGTTGAGTTGTAAAAATATTTCAAGGTGCCTAGCTTTGGGGGGGGGGGAGCATGATAAAATTTGCCGGGGCAGGGAGATCGATCAGATCCCGATTAAATTGTGCTTTGGACCGGAGTTTGCAGTTGAGTACCCCTGATACAGCTGGTAGATTTACCTCTACATGACAATTACACGAGCAGGTGGTATATTATCAAATGGGATGGTTTTTGTCATTTTTTCCTCATTGGGGTGGTGGCATCCGCAAACATCACATGACATCTCGAGCCCTGTTATATAAAACTTAAAAATGAAACAAATACTAAACTACAGGTTTTTTTTTTATCAGTCAGGCTATAATTACATAAATACTGCAAGCTTTTATAAGAACATTCAAACTTTCTACTATAAAATAAAAGCCTTATAAATCTATAAGTCTTGCTATATAGACATAAAGTCAACTTTAAAATCAATTTTGCCATATAAATACTGCATGACATATATCCAAGTAAATCACATAAAATTCACATACTACCAGCAGACAAAAGCTATGATTAAGAATTTGTTTCTAATGAACCTGTTTTGATTAACTGTAATAGTTGTGGAATACTAGCAGGATACGCCTGAATTGCAATTACTGTACAATTTAAATGAAATATTTAAATGACGCTGGCTATAAATTCTCACCGTTTTACTGCTTTCTCTTTTAATTGCATTTTCGCTCAGCATTCCAATCTACATGGGGCGAAAAACACGTATCCCACATTACAGGATTATGATGTGCTGAGGTAGCTCAAATCAGAGATATTTAATCCGAGGTGGGAAGAAAAACATTGTTCATACTGCAGCAGTGACTCACCCATTGTGGGCTTAGGTAGACAATTACCCTCCTTAATAACAACCTCTGCTAAGACACTATCGGTGCAGAAAATGCCAATATCTTGAGGAAAACACTGCAATGAAAACCCAATGATTGCTCAAAATATGTCACCTGGAAATGTGACCACTGACTACAGCTTTTTCACTTCCAACTGCTGTGAATACAGTCATCTTCCTTAAAACCCTTGGACCCAATTAGCTGAGCCTCCACACAGATAATGATTCAAATTAGCGGATCGCGTTAGTACACACAATTGCACATTCACCTACACGGTCATTCTCAGAAATAACTTTGGAACTGAGGTTTTCACAAGACAGACCATGAAGCTAAATATCGGTACGTGAGTGTTTAAAATACCTGCGGCCCATATAAGTAATAGGCTCATATAACTACAGTATGACCTTCCCGAATTGGGTCTTTAGGCATAAAAGTGTAACTCACACTGCTTCTGTCCATCCACATTGTTGACACATTCTATAATACAACATAATCATTTAGGTCACCTCTATACCCAACACAGGGTCCATGAAAAAGAAAGTACTGTGTGTGTGTGTGTGTGTGTGTGTGTAAGTATATATATACAAAAATATATAATATATATACACACACACACATATACATAAAGAAATGCATATATATATATATATATATATACAATTTCTACAATCATTTTCTACAATTCTTTCTACGTTTTCTGCAATTTTCTTATATAATACATGTATGACACAAAAAGCCATATAAATCATAGATTTTTCATATGCAATTACATAATTTTACACCAACCAAAGATAGTCAAATTAGCCATAAAACACATAGAGACAAATCAATGGACACCCACCTCATATGTTAAAAAACAAGACAAGCATATAAACATGGTTGTGTATTCATCATAAAACTGCCTGTCAGAATTCCCATATTTCATTATTTCATTTCATTTTCAAACACATTCTTCTATATTACTTTATAGCAGCGGTCTCCAACTCCGGTCCTGGAGAGCTGCTATCCAGTAGGTTTTCTATCCTACCCGGCTTCTGATGAGCCACACCTGTTCTCAGGTAAATACCAGGAGCAGGTGTGGCTCATCAGAAGCCAAGTGGGACAGAAAACCTACTGGATAGTAGCTCTCCAGGACCGGAGTTGGAGACCCCTGCTTTATAGTATACCATTTGAGTATATACATGGGATTTTCCTCTTCATATTAATTATAATAACACAGGCTTTTGTCTAAATCACGTAAATATATGGGCAAAATGTTAGTTCATTTGAATGCATTTTAAAAAGTGTGAATTATTTTTGTCACTGAGCAATAAAGACTATATTTTCTTTGCTATGATACCATGCAGCTGTCATATTTTATGTCAGGCTATGGATTATTTTGCCAACCGTAAGCCTTTCAATAGCATATATTCCATGAATTTAAATGCAAATGCAGTTAAAAAGACTGTCTAATTCTATATCTTTACAATGAACCTTGCAAAAAGGAAGATAAATTCTGTTGTCCAGGTCCCCTACCCACTGGATTCCATTGAGGTCTGACCCCAAAGAGTTTACTGTTGATCCAGTTGGCAAGTGGACTTAGACCACCAATAGGTTGGGACAGATTAATCTCACACTGCAGTGTTTACCTGTAATAAAAGCTCTTTTTCAACCACTTCTTCACTCTTTGTTATCAGACGCTTCTGTAAGGAGTGAATCTTCTGGATCAGCTCATAGGTGTTCGGGTCACTGGCCTGAGAAAAGTCATTTTAAGGTGTTAATATTATCCTGGGAGAGAAATGCAAGCTTCTGACCCCCGGCTTCTCTAACTAAGCCTGTGACAAGCAAAGACTTTTCAGAGAGACACACACTTACTGAAACAATATGAAAGGCAAAGACGTGAGGAAAAAAAAAACTAAAGTCAGAGCCATTTTACATACATATAACCTGCAGTGCTTCTTATATTAAGTTATGGAAAGGCATCGCAGATAACGTGGGCAACGTCCAATCTCTACCTCCAACTTTCTCCAACGATGTATATTCATAGGATTTTCTAGTTCCTCCTCCAAAGCTCTGCATCTCGTTCGCTCTTTGAGGAGTTCCCTCTGCATGTGGTACACTTCTCGTCTGTTGCAAAAATAGAGTAAATAAAATGTATCGATAAAGAGCTAAACTTTTGGCCCATTATAGCGACAGTAGGTGTTAAGTCAGTTTTTATCAAGCATGAAAATAGTATAAATATATTGCATAAGACAGCAGCACATTTATCATATATTTTAGTAATATTTTAAGTTATTAATAAGTTTTAAGTTATTAATATAGCCTATTAAAGCAAATGGTTCTTGACGTTGCCTTTGACCTGATATTTTGTGATTCGGTTTTAAAATTAACAACTTGAAAGCTCCATCTGCTGTCCTGTTAACACACGTGACTTGGCAACAGAGAGAAAAGCACATAGTAGAATGCCTTTCAGAACTAGCCTGAAGCATACAAACTCATTTATTTGAAAATGTCTCACAATGTACAACAAGTTAGAAATTCAACGGAGCTTAACAACTGAGTAGATGGGTCTAATGCATATATATTGATGCATTTATGTATGTATGTTTATGTATAATCTGCACTTATTTTAAAAGTGTGTCAGACATAATATATATGTCACTTTAGAATAGGCTACAATATCAGTTAAATTAAAAATCCAATTAGCTGAGGTCTTTGGTGATGTCTATGACTGTATTTGTATTTATTGATATTTAGAGAATGGACACATGATATGTTATTAACCAGTGAACCCCAAACTAATACCTAATATTACAGTGCTATGTATAAAAATATATATATATTACAATAATTTTCTTAATAGTTTAAGCCATTGTATTCAGTCTTGCAGCTAGGGCAGCGGAAGACTACAGTAAAAATGTCAACTGTGCGACTAGAGGCATTCATGACAGCAAAAATAATATTCAAAGCGAAGGGGCTGCTATGCACATCCTCCATCAAAAAATAATAACTTTAATCACAGAAACCGAGGAATCGGTCAGAGGCCTGGCAGTACATTTACATGAGGCTGTTGAAGGCCACATGTTGGCATCAACAACGTACGAGCCAATACAGAGAGGCCTGGCTTATTGTGAATATTGTATCATTATTACCACTTATTTAGATACACAAAAGAAACAAAAAAAGATAAAAGAGAGGCACTATCCTTTTTAAGAACACTGAAAAAAACTAACAGTAAGAGACTGAAATATAGTTCAAAAAGTTAATGTTAAAGAATACCACAAACCAGCAACAAGCACACGGAAGATCTATACTGTTCAATTGTGACACAAAGCAATTACTTAACATTACACAGTACTCTGTTGTGAATTCCACCAGCGAGCCCTACATAACCCTATCAGGGAAATCAGCTGAATTTCATTAATTAAGACACTTCTCAGGCTGAAGTTGACTGTTAGTCACCATAGCAACTAAGCTCCATAGCTACCCAAGCACTGTTTACCTACTTTACTAATTTTATGGATAATATGAGGGGAAATACAATTATTGACATTTTTAACTTATTTTTAATTATAGGTGTGTGTGTCTGTCTATAAATCAATTAAGTTTAGGACTGTCAGTCGATTAATAATACATTTAAATATCCAAAGTGGAAAAAACTCAGCCCAAAAGTAAGACAATTCTTTTTTTGTTGTTTCTCATTTTTTTCTGTTTGTCTGCTCCTTTTGTTCTGATTTGTTCTGCTGCATACATTCATGGAAATGTGACAGCGAGGAAAGTGCAGGAAAGCATTGATTAATACATGACGGCAGGACTGATATCTATGCCTTAAAGTTTAATCAACACCTTCGAGAGTGTAGGAATCAGTCTTTTTCGGTGTACATCCTTTTTCATTGATAGGGGGGTGCGTTGTATACACTCAAAGTCACCCCTTCTTGGAAAACCAAACTGATGTGTTTATATATGCTGAAAAGTCATGAACTGCATTACTCATGCAAACGTAATACATAAACAAATGCATAAATAATAAAATAAAATCAGGGGGGGGGAATGACTTGTAGGCTTAATATGGCTGTTCCCAACACACTAAAATGATTTTCCCCAAAACTGCTACAAATGTATACCAGTCAAATAATGGCTGTAATACAAAGCTACATGTGGGAGGAAGTATGAGATACCACATGGTGTGATGATAAAGTCATGCACATCAGAAGGAAGTTAAATAATATGGTAATTAGGAAATGAATTCTGACCATGGTAATACATAAACAGAATGACTAGCAAGAATCCATCTGGATGTAGGAATCCTTTCAGCCATGCTATTCAGGGACAACGTAACTGTGTTGGTACCTAATGAGCCAGTAACTCTGAATAGCATATGGCAAATTATGGAAGGTTCACGTATCCAAATAGCAGAGTATCTGAAAATAAATTCAAAATATATTACTGCATTTAAACAGAAATTACTTCATTCAGAAGATAACAAGCAGGAAAAAGTAGGTGCAATTGGGAATGTATGGTTTGGAAAGAATTTCCAATGAATGCGACCCAGTTCATTGGTAATATTGTTTATATGAGTCATATCACATGTAACTTATATGTTACACATGATCAGTGGCACAATTTGCAAAGACAATCTGCCTTTCATGGATGACTTTAAAGTACTCTGACACGGAAAGGTCTGTTCATTAAATCTGACAACCCAGAATCATCCTGCTTTTTCCATATTCATATCATTCATACCTTTTACAAAAATCCTCTTATATTGTACACCCTGGATAATATTATTGCACTTAATTTGATAGAATTGAGACTCTATCACAGAATAAATGTCGCACAAAAAATAAGTAATTGTGATATTTAACAGCCATTGTTGAAAGCAAAGAACTGAGTTACAATGGACTTACTTGACAATGTGTATTGTGTTTAAAAATCGTTTTCCAATATGCTTAATTTAATGTGTATTTGAACAGACAACAATAGGCAGACAATAATAATGTATCAAAATGCATATTAGAACTATTATTGCAATAAAGTAACATATCTATTGTTAGTTCTGTGCCTTTGTCCATATAACTGACATGCTGTATGTATATTGGGATTCTGTAAAAATGGCTACAATGTACAGTTTGGATGGAGTGAGAGGTTTCTTCAGAGTGTAGTTAGAGCTGAGAGAACAAAATTAAACAACAAAATTTGTATCATGCAGGAGCTCATCTGACAATGCAAGCAATTTATTAGCATGTCATGACTGCACATTTCACAGGGCAGATTAGTTCGCATTTTAAGCTAGCAGTAACACAAATCACATTCTCGCTAGTATTTATGTTGTGTTTGTTCATTTGTTCATGTGCTTCTGCTGGGAGTGCAGTGGGCGGTAATGTTTTCTCTTGCCTCATGTGTGTACTAGTTTCCTCCCACAGTCCAATGACGTGGTTTAGGTGTACTCTAAATTGCCCATAGTGTGTTTTTCCTGCCACGGACTGCCATCACATTCATGCCCTGTGCTTCCAGGAAAAGGCTCCCAGTTTCCTATCCTGGATAAGCAGTTATGGCCATTGAATGAACCGTAGATGTTGTTTGGCTTTTATCTATGAAAAAATCTAACTGGCTTACTTATGGTAACATTATTCTGAGATTAAGAAATCCTCTTGTGGACCCAACAATGCTCATATCTCCAAAATCATCTTTTTCTCCAAAACTGCAAAGGTTAGAACCCGCAATGCAGCGGCTTCCTAATAACGCTTCCTGGGGGCCACCAAAAAGCCTTCATCGTTCCTCAGTTAATGTTTTCTTCTGTCACTTTTTGGGGATTGAAGAAAGATTTACAGCAGGTTATGATCTCACATTAGTTTTAATCCCCATGCTAGTTTTCCGTGTATGTTAATGAGCGAGGCTGATGACTCCATTGTTTACTACAATGCCAACCACAACAGATTGCTGTCTAGCTATCTAGAAAATCCCTACAGCTGTGGCACTGGTGAATGACCAAGACAAATACATAAAAAAGAGTCACTTGGGAGTAACTGAAACCTGAAGTTGACAGTAAAAGATGATTTTTATGAACTGCCACCCTATCCATAACCTACCCTGGCTTGGTGCCCTTTAACCTTGCTTGCTGCCTGGGATAGGGTCCAGGCTGGCCCTGTGACCTTTTACTTGATAAGCAGTTGGATGATGGATGAAGAGATAAGATTTCATCTTACTGATTAGAAATAAATGCTATAACATTGATCAAAATAGTCAAAATTGACCTTTTTTGGAAACAATTAGTCATTTACAGACTGTCCAAAATTGTCTTTTTAAAAATTAAAATGCCTATATATCCTAATCATACAGTGCATTCAGAAAGTATTTAGACCCCTTCACTTATTACAAATTTTATGTTGCATCCTTATTATAAAATCCTTTAAATTCACCCCTCCCCCATTTCTCAGTACTTCATAATGACAAAGCAAAAACGGGATTCTAGAATTTTTTTTGCATAACATATTTGGAAATATTTTCTGAGTGCACTGTTTGTAGGGAGCCTAGCATCTGCTAAGCCACTCCACTGTATAGTTACACCGGGCTATTTACCAACCTCACAATTAACAAAACTGCAATTTAAAAATACAAGCAGCTCACAGCATAATGATTACGAAACAGGAATTACTTCCAAAAGGTCAAGTTCCAAATATGCCTCAAGGCTCTAACCTTGACTGAATTTCTCAGCACAACATAAAAAATCGGGTGTATGAATGGAGATTGTTGCAGGGTTATACTTTAATGAACTATTCAATTAGTTGATGTGAGAGTAAAACAAAATCTGAATTACAAATCACTATTACATTAACCTTTACTAAGTGGGCATTTGCATTGTCATTTGGGCATAGCCACTCACTGACCACTTTATTAGGTAGTACTAGGAAGTACCACATAGGACACACATTTGTATCAATGGTAGAGGAGTCATATTTTCAGAGAAGCCTTTCTGCTCATCACTTTTGTACAGAGGTTTTATTTCTGTACTTGTCTTGTTAGTGTTAATGAGATCTGCCCATTTTCCTCTGACCCTTCTTATTAAGAAGGTGTTTTTGGCTACAGAACTGCCATTGACTGGATGTTTTTTTATGTTCATCGCACCATCTCTATAAACTCTAGACACTATAATGTGAGAAAATCCCATGAGGGTGGCTGTTTCTGAGACATAGGGCACCAGCACATTCAAAGTCTTTCAGGTCTACCGTCTTATCCATTCGAATGCTTAGCTGAACAGTAAGGGAACCTCTCGACTCTGTCTGTCAGGTGTATGCATTTATTTGCAGCCCTATGATTCACTGTATGGAGAAGCATGTGTTTACATCAACAACTTTACTGAAGAAACTGGCCACTGAATGTACAAAGGGTATGACAGATACATCGTCAATAGATTAAAGCTTGTTTGTGCAGTAAATCCAAGAAAAGTCATTACCTGAGATCATCGACATTGGCCACAGTTTTGACTAAGATGCCTTTCTCTCGTCTCAGTTTCTTAATCTCCATCTTTAATAGTCTGATGTCTTCAATCCTTTGATTGTACTGGTTCTCCCCCTTGTTCAGCAAGGACTGTTGAATCTTAATCTTCTCATACAAAAGTGCCAGTTCGTCATTGCGCCGCACCAACTGTGTTCCCAGAATATCTCGCTCGCCGATTACCTAAATAACAGCACAATCAACAAAATGCCTCAGTAATACATTCAATGGCACATGCATGTTTGGCTTTTTTCAAGGGGAAAAATGTATTAGTGTATCTCCTGAGAAACGCAATACACTTACATTTTGTGGTCACCCCGTCTCTATCTATGGTATTATTATAGTGATACGTTCATTACAGAACAGAATATCTTTGTGATATAACAGAACACATGGGTTAATGTAGGATTGCTTCAATTGAGTAGGCAAACTGATACACATGACAGGTGAAGGTTAAGAGGGTGAAGATACCAGGACAGACAATCAAATCCAGAAAACTTAGAATGAAAAAAAAATTACTTTATTTTGTATTTTGGTGCAACTAAAAACTCCACATGGGACTACTGCTCTCCCTGTTTTTAAAGTATTCTAATAAGTAAATACTTAAATTGCAGACAAGGGAAATTCATCAAGATGTTTATAGTCAATTTGAATGCTTCCATAATATAGTTAATAATTTCAGTTACTTTACTGTAATCTGCATGTGTGCAATGATTTTTTTAAATTAGCTATGTACAGACAGATGTAAATATACTGTGGTGAAAAAGTTGCTTTTCTGTAGTTTTAGTGATTTACATATTGAGACATATCTAACCTTCATCAAGTCCTCAAAGTCCTAATGCTAGACAAATGCAAGCTTGTATATGTGTCATAACACACATACAGTTTTTCATCTTTCATTATTTATTCATCAAAAAATCAGCCACTTCATTTTTTTCTTTTTGAAAACCGTTTGCTTTGGATTCATTTTTATCAAAATATAATCATTATGTGAAAAATGTTCCTGTTGGAATGTAACATTTAACATCAATAACAATGATTCAAATAGCTATATTAATAACAATTCTTTCAATAAAGGAGTTTTCTGTATGATTATGATGAATAATATAGTCATATATTCTGTTTAAGCAGTGTCACATTTCTTCATCAATCACATGTAACGTTTTACAACTTTAAATTGAAATAACTTTATTTCAATACAATTGCAACGAAAATAACATTATAGGATTACTAAGTTGCTACCATTATTATGAAAATAATATCAAAATGCTATAAATTTGTATTATAAGTTTGACAACCAGAACATTCTTAACTGTCAACGTGGTATGAGTGTGAACTTGATTAAATTGGACTCAGTTGTATTTGGCAAAACAAATGCTGATAACAATATTGAACAATGCTGCTATTATTATTCTTGGCCATGCTTTCTATGACTGTATACCATTAAAATGTTAATGAATTCCTGGAAAGGTACCTATTTGTTTCCGTATAAGGAATGAAAAGGATAGCTGGGGGTGAGGGCAGGATGATGTTCCAAGCAGCAGGGGGATTAAAGGGCAGCATTTCTCTAAGCTTTTAATGAGACAACAGATCCAATCCGACGAACCCAACCTAACAGTCACTTCACAACATGTGAAATATCTGAATGGTATTCTACAGGTAAACATTATGCAACTGCACACAGTTCACCATATAATGAAAGTGAACATCTCACAACTGCCTAAAGTTTCTTATGGATTACAAAAAATGATGGAGCCTCTTCAAATCAAATTAAGAAGGGAATACTAAAAAACATTAACGCTATATTAATAAATACGTAATTATAGCTACATATGCATAAACATATATCTGCATAAAAGTAATTTCTTGTATGTATATTTTGTATATGTATCAATATTATGAAGATTTTCTGAATGAAATATAAGTTTGTTTCCAGGTAGCTTTCAGTACCAGCAACAGAAAACCATAAGAAAAACACAGGAACTCAAATGAGTGGTAAGATTCACTGCTGAAATCTGCATTTTTCTTGCCTTGCAAAATACTGTTGTGTCCATCTTATACGTACCTGTTGAGAATTCGGAATGTTCTCTTAAAAATTTATAACTAAGCGTGCGACTAAATCCTAAAAACCTGGTTACTTTCAAGAGGTTAGGAGCTGCCACCTCAACCAAGAGACATGTTTGAGTTTAATGAGCTAAGGGCTGGACCAGACTTTGCCCTTTTATCATGTTGCGCACAGTGAGTTAGCTCAATGAAGTAGAAACCCATTCTTCTACCTGATCCAATTCCTTCTTCTGTCGGACCCTTTTAGCGTCAGCATCAGCTATGATCTTCAGCAGCTTTCTCTCCTCTGCCTCCTGGTTGTCAATGAACTGCTTTGTCTCCTGGGCTAGCTGTTTCATCTTAGTGAGTTCTGCCTGTAGTAAAAAAAAACAGTTTAGCCTAATGTGTATGACACAACATACAGCCCTCACAGACATTTGATATTTTGCATCAAAAGATATTGACATAAATATCACTGAATGCAGCTGTAGGGGAAAAAATTCTATGATTTGTCACCTTTTTTAAACATCTTTCATCCTAAAGGACTGGTGGAAAAATGTCACGCAGAAAAGATTCAAAAGGCTAAATATCTTCATCTATATCCAGGTCAGGTACACGGAGTTGGCCTCACTCCCAGAATGCCCTGAAATGTTCAAGCACTGCGATTATGTGATTGTATGTTGTCATTTTTGCAAAATGAACTGTTGAATGCAATAGTTACTTGTAAACTACCCTCCTTTCTTCAATAAATGACATTGTTCTGATAATACATGGAAAAGCAAATATGCAGTTTAGTAATGTAACCGTTGTCTGTCCAAAGTAAGCTTAGCTCTGAAATGTACTCTTTATATCAATTCAACATAAATTTATCCCTACTCTAGGATATGTTTGGCTACAATGACATCATACTTGAGTCTGATGAACAGCCAGCATGCAAGAAATGCTAGAGATAAATGAAAGAACACAGATCTGTATCATATTTTACCTTAAACATTGACTCAGCACTTGCTGTAAATGCTAGTGACCTAGAAAGACTCTGCTGTAACCTTTGAATCTAAACTGTAAGGAAATATGGTTACAATGTCACTCTTATTTCGAGCCAGTTATTTATTTATATTTTATGAGCCCAATAAACATTTTGAGACAGTAGATGAAGCATGTAATTGGATATCCTGAGAATCAATACAGACGTGTTACTGTGCAATAATCAGCTGAGCCACTTTTGTGAGAGTTCAAAGGAACCAGTCAGATTCAACTCTTATTATCCTCAGCCATGTTTTTTATGACCATATACCATTCATTAAGATGTTAATGAATTCCTGGAAAGGTACTTATTTGTTTCTTTATAAAGCATGAAAAGGATAGCTGGGGGTGAGGGCAGAAAGATGCTCTGAACAGCAAGGGGATTAGAGTGCAATGTTTCTATAAGCCTTTAAAGAGGCAACAAATCCGACTGAACTAATCCAACTGAACAAATCCAACCAAACAAATCCAACCAAACAAATCCAACCTCTAATCACTATACAAAGTGAAAACTGTATTGCATTGTGTTGCATTCTACAGGTTTCTCATTTTGGGAAACTGCACTCATTATGCCACACAATGACATGGAACTGCTCCTAACTGATGGAATTATAGCATGAACTGAGTTCTGGGGAGAACTCAAGTGTCTAAGATGGATAGCTGTGCAAGAACATCATTTTTCTAGAACTGCTTAAATAAGAGGAATGAATGAAACATATTTATTGTAACAAATATACTCAGTGGCTCGCTTATTAGATACATCTGCTTGCTTAGGCAAATAGCCAAGAGGTCAAGTGGTAATGCTTACTGTTCCACTAAGCATTAGAATGGCTAAGATGCCTGGTGAATCCAGAATCTTAGCAATAGTCATCCCCCTAGGATTTTCATGCACTAGCACATCTATACTTAAGCTAAAATGAAGACCACAAGGTCTAAACTATGATTTCTAAATGGCTTATCTGAAGACATTTGAGTTTGAAGTGGTTCTGGAGGCGAAAGTGGGTCTGGCCTGGTACTAGCTAAATGTACCTAATAAATACATTTACATAATATAAATAATAATTAAAAAAATTAAGGTTTGCAAAAATCAGCAATTGCAATTTATTAGTAATTTATGGATTAAAAAGACTAACTGAAATTACAATGAAAAGTCAAAGTCAAAATGTGTAAAAAACACCTTAACAAAAGAGTATAGTGTTAACTGGAATAAGATGCAAACCACAAGGTTGATTTGATGTATACATCTAGAAGCTGGATTCGTGTTTGAGACTGTTGTCTGACAATGACTGTTTTTCCTAAACATAAATGCTTGATGTGATTAACACATATATTCTAAACAATTTGTTCTGATTAAATTAAATTACAGCAAAGGGGTGCAATTATAAGAGTATAAAAGGAAATTATAGACCTATGCTTTTACTGTTATTTTGATTTACAGGAAATGCCTACACACACATATGGGGGGGTGGGATCTCAGCCCCCCCCAACCCTGAAGCTGTGAAGCAACAGTGCTCCCCACTGAGTCACCATATTACCAACAAGAGACCATGTAAAAATAAAAACAAATTTGTAAATAAATATTTCTACTAACACTACTTTATCTTTCTTGAAATGGGTGACAGTCAATATCCTATGGACTTGTATGGCAATGACATGGAATAATCAAGAACAGCCTGATATGAAATGTTTGAAGCTGCCATCTGAAAGTTTTTGTAAGATACTAAAGCAATTGGACAGAATATAGACTAAAATTAGACCAAAAAGAATCATAAAAGATGATAAGACAGCTTTTTGTCAGATGAGTCAATAAATCTATACTTGTCACCATTAACTGACGGCATTATTGACGTGCTGTCATAAATGTAATATACTGACACCCTGTAAATACTACGGAAGTATACAGACCCTAGCTGGCATACTAATTTTAAAAGAAGTCAAATTTAAAGTCCTGTCTAGCATAACAAACTTCACAAAGCAGAAGATTTAGTACGCTTAAATCAGTGACTGTGAAAACTGACATATTTTTTACATAAATTTAGAGTAATCTCAGATATTATATAATGATATATATAATAAAGATATCTCACAGGACAAAACTTTTGATTTAGCACTAAAAGTACACTGGAAATTTTGTTGACAAGGAAAAAGTGGGACACGACAGGATCAGGAGCAAAGGAAGGGTAGAATTTGTCTAAGCTCAGCTGAGCTTAACGTGAGCAAGAAAAAAAAATGAAACATTCGAATACCAAATGAAAACAATGAAAATCTAAATCTAGAAATATTGCATGTGCAAAATATATACCCTCAATGCAAACAAAATATCCTCTTATAACCACAAACTGTAGTTTGCGTATGCATTGAATCAGAGATGACTGGTCTCAGAACAGAATTTACAATATATAGAGTTAAACATATATCAATTACATTTACTATGTCACATGTGCCGTTCACCAGGTACTGACCCTGCATACAACATATGGGCTTTACTCAGTGAAATGTGTTTGTTTGTCTGTTGATTTTTCTTGCTACCATAAATAACATACTCTTAATTACATGCTACTTTACATAAGACTTTATTTTGTGCAACGTAAATAATGCATGTTTCATGGATTGAGAAAGATGGTTTGGGGCTCCATCCTGAGTTATTCCTTGCCTTGTGCCTGTAGCTTTTGGGCCCCCCAACTGTGCATAGGACAAGTGGGTATAGAAAGGAGGTGATGGATGAATGGATGGATGGATGGATCTTCAGGTACTTAATTTATGTTTTATTGCTATTTGAGAAATATAAACGTCAGTTATATAAGCAGAATGGGAAATGGATGGATGGACGGATGGATTCACATTTGAATCATGTGATCAGGCTGTATCAAAGGTAATTCTTCAAAAAAGACATTAATAAAGTGCCTTGAATTACTTCCATCATCCAGTATACAGAGCTGTTCCCTAGGCATCCCTCCTCGCTTGGTTTAAAACATCCTACTCATTTAATTACAATGCCCTTAAATACCAAAATGTGTCACAATGTGTCAGTTCTAAGCACTCTGTCTGGCAAATTTCCTCATTAACCTAATTTACAGGAAGTTTTTACTCCAGTTGTGTCGTTAATTTTTTTCTTCAGAACTATAATTGTGACTCTTCTGCACATTACTGTATGTTTAAAGATTATATATAAGTTACAGCTAGCTAATCTTGCTCTAACTTCTCCTTTCCTCTCCCCCCTTTCCTTTCCCCTCAGTGGTTGAACCAGCTATCCGTGAAGATCAGGGCTGCACTGTCTGATTCCTCAAAATCCATCTGTTCAGATCCCACCAAATGGTTTACCAGGCCCAGAACTGTTGGACTTGCTTTATTGATTTGTTGGCTGCTGGCCACAATATGAATGAGAATATTCTTTTATGCTCTCTACATGGTGATGTACATTCTCATAGTGAAGATAAGTCCAGAAATTACAATACAGAATAATGACAGTTTGTAGTCTGACACATTGACAGCTGGGTAAATTGCAAAAAGCTGCACAATTATAAAATACATTACACTATGTTAATCATTAAAGGGAAAATTAGTTGCAAATGTATTTTGTTTTATTTCAAATTTAGATGGACTGTAGATAGTATTGGTTAAATTTGGGAAATGAAAATATAAAACTTATAATTAAGGATGCAACAAGAAAGTTATGCATGAATACTAAATCATTTGCAAACTCACAGACTATGATAGTTTTGTGGCATTGACACATTGAATTAACTAAATGAATTTGAACCCAAACTAATTTCAGATATGAAATTGAAATGCAATGGTATTATACTGGACATATATCTTAGTCAAATATACTGAAGAATAATGCACAAAAATAAATTTGCATAATTTAAGATTTTACTTTAATTACTGATATTGGGACTTTAAAGCTGTTTCATTTAGTTTGGCTACCCTGCCTGTTAACCTAGTGAAGAGTAATTTAATTCAATGATTTTGCAGTGTCTGTAGATATAGATAAATGGATCAATCCTCCGCAAAGTAAGATTCTTTACTTCACATTCTAATAAACATGCAACACTGACAAACTATATCTACAGTAATTCATTGTATAATACATAGTTTATAAAACGTGCTTACACCTGTATTAAATAGTCATAGTATTATATATAGATATTTTGTGTATTATATATAGATATTTTATAAGTCGTACGCTCAGTAACATTTTTTGATAATTTGCCAGCATATCCTTATGAGCTAGATAAAGGCCGTATTCGCCTATATTTTTGGTCCTTTAGAAGTGTGACTTTTCTTTGCTCTTGTGCGAGTTGCCAAATCTCTCTCTGCACATGCCTATGTGTCTATCACTGCTGCCTATAATCTCATACAGGGCCAGACGAACGGTCGCTTTGCAGAAATCACTGCATGCTGAGCATATCTTGTACTTTGTTGTTGCTGAGAAAGCAAGGCTAGAACATAAACCATCAAAGTGATTCTTGTAGATTGCAATGGAACTCAGCGGAAATTAACTTAAATTTTCCTTTCATTATTTTAGTAATCTACACAGGACTATAGGGTAACAACAAAGCATGTCATGATTTAATGGTCAACTCATTACAGCATCATTTAATTCACACTCATTACTAAAGTACATTAGAAAGCAATGTCCAATGCCATTCTTAGAAGATCCAAAGCCCCAAATATAGTCTATGATTGAGAAGATTGCAAACTTTGTCAACTCTGTGACTTTCAGTGCAAAGAGCGATGCCTCTTTTCCTATGACAAAATAATGCCATTAAGCTTTTAACAATGAAGTAGACCTACCTTGAGTGTTTCGTTTTCTTTTTCCACTCGCTGGAATTCAGTGTGTTCTCGTATAAGAGCGGATTCCTTTCCAGTGATCTCCTCTTTCAACTGATCCATTTGATGATTCATGGTCTTCAGTTTCTGCTTCATTTCAGTGATCTCATCCTTTATCAGAAATGATCCAATTTTCAGTATTAATATCAATGATAAAAGAAAATTGTATGTAAAGCACACATTTTTTTGTTTTGTTTTTTTTAAAAATGCAGAGCAATAAAGGAAAAACTTCAGAACTATGAATTTCCTTCCTTCCGTCCTTTTTCGGAAACCACTAGTCCTATTCAAGGTCGTGGGGGGTCCAGAATCTATCCCGGAGGCTATGGGCGCAAAGCAGGGAACAACTCAGGATGGGGCGCCAACCCATCACAGAACTGTGAATTTATACAACTAAAATGTTCCAAGCTTTGTTTTTGACTAACAATATGCTGCAAAAAAAAACAGAAGGAAACCTTTGAGCGGTATAACCATGAGATAATCTTTAGAGTAGAGCTTTCCACCTTTCTTATCAAAATCTAACTCAATAAAATGGCACTTACCAAACAGAAGATGTAATTTCCATATTAATGAGATTGTTTACTAACAGAAAATGATCTACTGGAGCTTAATGATCCAAGGGGCGAAAAGGTTGCATTATTTAACACCTACGAGTGCTAAAACAAACTGGCTGGTACCAACAGACTCGTTAAGAGTAAAGTGTACCTGAGCTTCCAGGAGGGTCTTACTGTAGAGGTTCTTGTCGGACCGCACTGCCTCATAGAGGTTCTGTTGCTGTTTCAGCTTCGTTTCAGCTTCAGCTATCTTTTTCTTGTAGTCAAAGATCTGCATTTCTCTTACTTTAATGTCTTCCATGTTTTGTAGAACCTGCCAAGTTGAACAAGAAATAACTCTGTTTATTATTATTATTATTATTATTTATTAGCATTGGTACCAATTATTATCTAATATGGACTCATCACAAGTGTTCAAAAACAGTTACAGGATTGTATATAATTAATTTATTAATCAACTGCATAGGGATGCACTTTTAGTTAATGAATGCAACTCCATTTGATGTACTGTATCACTCATCAAACTAAAAAGAGAACCATCTGGGTAAATGAAATGTATTATTATAGTACTATGATTCAGTTCATTTAATGAAGATGAGATATGAATCAGAATGTAGATTCTGTGCTGTCTTAAGGAAACTGACTATGAAAACATTTTAAAATATGAAACAGAAATATCCAAGTACATTTATAACTTCTACATTTATAACTGTCTTTTTATTTTTATTCGTCCATTCGTCAGGCTAAAGAATTCAATAAACCGAAAGCAATAAATCATTATAACAGATAAACGCTTACAAACTAGGTAATTCATTCTTAGGTATAATAAAGATGGGAACTATCATTTTAAAGCTAAATGACAATTACAATGAATGCATAGTTAAAATGTTAAACGCAACAATGAAAGTTACAGATAAAATTGATAATTTCAACAAAGTTCCATAGTTAAGATATTACAAAAGACCAAGAAATGGGTTATTTACAAAAGGACTCTATAGAGAAAGTGCCACTATTACACATTCAATTTTAACTTGCCGTTCAAGGGCTAGTAATAAAAATGAAGTAATGTTCACTCCAAAGTAAAGGTACATTAGAAAAGTAGCTGTATTGGTGCAAAAAATACATTGTATATTTTAATAATGGCAAAAAGCTAGGAATAATCAGAAATTTTGGAAATAAAACTAAGATTAAGATTTGAACCAAGATCAGAGCTTGATCTAACTCTTTCCCCGCTAACTTAACAAGCATTGCTTCTTGACAGCCATAGACAATATGGCTGTCTGATTCTTACTGTACCTAAAGCTCATGGGTCGTACATATGGTGTTTGTCACTTGATTGAGTAGTACTGTACGTGCCATAAGGGGAAAAGAAAATCATCAGGTGCATCAGTAGCCAAGAAGATACCACACAGGCACCGAAGTTGGTATAGTCATGCCTTACACGACCTTTCTACCTTGCCTTTTGTGTGAGATCGCTAGCTTCATTAATGTAGCGGTCTCGCTCCTTCTCCAGCTGGTAGATGATCTTCCGTTGTTTCTGAGCTTCCTCCCTGTAGTTCACGATCTCCTGGTTGAGATTCTTCTTTGACTGCTCATGGACCTTCACCAGACTTAGCTGCCTCTCAGTAGCATTAGTGGCCTTGATCATGTTCTGAGCAGGAAAATGCAAGGCTTTCAGTGTGAGAAACCATCAATACTGTAGATAAATATGTCAAGAGTGGAATAAAGCTGCACTGCACATTGAACAAAAGCTACACGCCAAAAATGTAACTGGTAATTTAACTGGTAATATAATTAATCTCTTGCGAATGTCTTAAGGGAGAATTTTATGCAATGATGTGATCACGTAACATGATATGCATATTTCACGTGTCAAATATGCATGTGTCACAGTGATACATTAGTTATGTATTGCTTAGCAGGTATATCTCATTAGAATTTTTTTTCCAGAAATGGAAAAAATGTATTTTTATGTACCTTGTTCAGGATATCTCTTTCTCTCACCAACTCATCCATGGCTTTCTTGTCAATTTCCAGCTGTTTTTTAGCAGATTCCATTTCTAACAAAATGATACATTTAAAATAATGCCACGTTTTCAAAACACTACAGTATTTCATTGAAACTATACTAATAACGTTGTACTACTTCATATAGCCACCAATATATCATATAACTTATTACAAATCTGAAATACCAAAACAAAGAATAAGGCCAGTTTCCATGTCTAGACTAATAATAAACCAGTGATCATTCTGAGGCAACCCCGCAAGAACATGGGAACTAACATACTGTAAGGCGGGTAAGCTGTAACTTTGGGGTATTACGAATAGTCATTGACCCAGCTGTCACCTAACATTGTCTCAGGTACTCAGCTTATGCTACTTTTGGCACTACTTAGTACAACACATTATGGTTTCCAGTCACCTTCTTGAATCATTAGCATTGCTATTAGCATTGCTATTAGCATTAATAATCAGTCACATAATAGCATGCCTTTATTTTGCATGTACGTTCAGGGACTCTTAATGAGACCATAAGGTCAGTAATGATACCAGTAAATTTAATGTAAACAAGATTCTCCAACATGGCAGAGACAGGCATGAAAAAAATGCTTTTACAGGCATTAAGCCTCTTGCCTTTTTCCAGCCCAGTTATCTGGTTTTTAAGCGTTTCTCGCTGTTGCTCTATGTCCAGTTTCTGCTCTTCCGCCTGTCGCACTCTCCTCTGGAGGGCTTCCCTCATCTTCATTAGTTTGGATATCTCCTGACGCATCTGATTTACCTCCTCCTCTTTCATCTAGTAGAAAAAACAGGCAGTCATTTTACTGGACCCAAAAACTGTCCAAGATTATTCTGTCCTAAGCCTTTACAGAAACACCTTTGAATTCTCAAAAGATTAGTCAAACAAAAAGATTAGAGTTGTGTTTTTTTTCTCTTCAAAGAGCTCTGACTGAGATCAGTATATGGTGTTTTACATATATGACAACACATGAAAATGAATCTGTGCAGGTCTGAAAGCGCTGCATTAGATAAAAACCAAGCTGTTGTCTGAAATGATAATGAAAAAAGCAAATATGGAGTGAGTGTGAGCTAAAGCAAAGTTAAAGGTAGAGCTTTGCATTTTTCTTTTTATCACTTCAAGAGAGATGCCACGCTGTAGATTTATGTACCTTGCATTTATAAGCATGATGGCTTTTTCTACATAAAATACATCCACAGTGACAAAAATGAATATACCAGCAGCATCCGGCCTTTAAAATGACTTACAGACAGCATTCTTAGTGTGTGCTCTACCTGCCATATTACCACTCAAGTAGCACATTTAAATAACTGACTGAAAACGGTCTTTTAACAGGTACAGAATACTTAGCTTAGCTATCATGTAGTGTAATACATTTAAAAATAGAAATATATATATAAATGTATATTCTCTAGTTATGCATGCAAAAAATAAAACGTAAAAAAATGTTTTATGTTACTTAGTGTATTTGATGACTTATGTATATCACTAGTGTCCCCTTGTGGATAGATTTAAAACTGCATACACTTAGTCTCCCAAAATCACCAGCAGCCCAATCATGCATTTCAAAATATACATGAAATGCATATATTAACATTTTGCAACAAGTGTCACCATATATTATACCACTTCTGTCCTTAATTTTCTTTAAATTACACTAAAGAAGTGGTTGCTTAGATCCCAGAGAGAATTCTAATTATTGATAAATACAGGATCAGTTTCAAAAGTATCTCAAAGGTGATTCTTTAAAGAAAGACTGGAGAAAGTTTTTTTTTAAATAAAGGTATGAATAAAGATGTTGTTTTATGGATGTTTGTAGTTAATGATTCATTGTGATCTACTTTGTTATTCATTTTTGAACCAAAATTTATGCAGCTCTGAAAACATTACATTTTAGATACATCCAATATGCATTAATTGCATGCAAGTTTTTCAGCTGCAGGAAGGCAAAATATTGGAAAAGTGTTCTTAATTCAGAGTCTCTCTGCCAGCTAAATATTCACGGCATACATCATTCATCTGAAATGGCTTTAAAGATTAAAGGTGCCCTAACATCAACCCTTTTTCCCCGAGAATTGCGTTATATAAGACCTTTGTCATTTTGTGATTTGACAACTTATACCTGCCAGAATTTAATAAAAGTGTGAAAGAAAGTGTCCTCTGAACTTCTGCTGTAAGTGCTCAGTCTCGTTCTTCAAATACGTACTCGGAAGCTACCTTTAGATCTGATGCCCTTTGTTGGTTCTCCAGGGACAGCTGTTCCATGCTCAGAGCATTCTGCTCGTTCTCTTGCTGGAGCTTCCCATTTCTTATATGCAGTTGCTCGAGTTCCTTTGCGGCTCTCTCATTGAGAATCTGTAAGGTCATAAGCATGGGTGTAATTCCACATGAGAACGCCACGCAGAACAGCTCTGTTTACAGTAAGCAGAAATCCAGACCAAGATTATGTTTCAACCGACCAGTTGAGTATGAAGAGTCACAGTCACAGAGTACTCAACTGCTTGGTTGAAACAAAACCTTGGGCAGGATTTGTACTTTCTGGACCTGAACTTTCAGCCTCTGCAAGCCACAACAGAGTCAATGGGCAAGCAGTTGTGTGCCTGTTGTGTGTGAGTGTTCAGTGATTGTATGCACATATCTGCAGTTTTACAGTGCAGTCTGGGATGCTAACCAAGCATTTAGCAGAACAATGAGCCAATAATTGAACTGTTTTTTACTATCCTACAATATATTTCAGCAGTTAAATGTCCAAATACAAACCATTACAAGGCATGTTAAATACAGATTGACACTGGAGACTGTACTGCTGTATCTATGGCAAGGCCAGTAACTGGTGTGGCCAGTTATTTTAGTATCAGTACAAAATAATCTCAGTGGGATTGATCTTAGGATGGCATCCAAGCCAGCCCACCTTCTGCTCTCGCAGCTGTTGCTCAAGCCTCTGCTGCTCGTCATTGCTGCGTTGGATCTGCAGATTCAGCGCTCTGATGTCCGTCTGCCTGGCATCCAGGTCAGCGTGCAGCTGTGCAACTTCCTTCTCTAACTTCTCTTTCCTGCGGCTCTCGCGGGAACACTCGTTCTGGCACACTTGGATGTCCTGCTGAAGCTGCAGCCACAAGATAGAGGGGCGGACAATGAGACACGCAAATCAGAATTCAAAGAGCATGCTAGAACACAATCAATTTCACCATGAGCTATTTAGTAAACACGGCATGAATCATTTATTTTCCACGCGACGGGCAGTGAGCCCATGTTTTATCAGAGCTGACAGGGCCAGATCTGGACCTCCGTGGGGTATGTGGCTGGTGGATGGTGGACAAGTGAAACCAAGACAATTTTTTACGTAAAGCCATTTCTATTCCATTAAAAATATTACCATACGTTTATAAAAAAAAATGGCTGGCAGCCAATTAAATCAGACCAAAATGGACTGTGTTTAGCCATTGATATTCAGGCGGGCTCTATTTTATATGAAGAACAAAACTTCAAAAACAACAATAACGAAAAATATATACAATTTATCTGAGAGTGGAAATTTCCACACTCCAGCAATTCATCGTTGAAAAGCAATACCTAATAAGATGTTTTTTTTAGTAAAAAATTGATGTAATAGGGTGTCGTGTGCAATTTGTACTAAGCAAAACTGCTTTTACGATTCAGCAGCATGGTAGATTATATTCACACCCAGGCTTGTTCCCAGGGTAAAGGGTGTATTTCAACTTAAATCATGCAAGAATGTAGAAAAAACAACATGTGGTACAACAAATATACTACACTTAACAATATCGATGTCATAAAATTTGACACGTAAAGCTTTATATAGGAGTTTTTTTCATTTGAGATAACTGTAATAGGTGAATTGACGTATTTCGTTGTTCATTATCTACACAATCATGCATTTCTCTAATAATATTACTCTTTTTCTTTCATACATTGTAAAACAGCTCAAATTGTCAGAAGTGCAATGTTATTTCGATTAATTAAAATGAATTAAGGTAGTAATTAAGGGAGCTGGATCAATACTTGCACATGTGCCTCCCATCCAGGAATTTGACCACACTGATACTGCAACCTCACTGATGCACAATTCCTCAAGAATACCTGCGATATGGTTTCCAAGGCCTTCTCTTTCGAGCCTTCCGTCTCTTCTTGATTGATGGTGGCCTTGGTGAGATTCTCCCGTAAATTCACCACTTCCGCAAGGAGTTCATCCCTCTCCTTGGTGAGATCATCTTTGATTTTCAGCAAATCATTCATACTGAAAAAGAAAATAAAATACAGAGAGCAATAAAGCTGCTCTTTCTATTCATTTCAATAAGACTTTCAATATCATGGGGCTGAAGTCCATTGGTCTATTTTTCTTTTTTAATAACATCAAACGTGACAAAGCATAAGCACTAGGGAACTGGTGTAGATGGCTAACAATATAATATTTCTACTCATATTTAGAGGACCAAAAGTGATTTACATAGCCTATGAACTGTATATTCCAACACGCTGGCACAAAAGAGTATGACTCACCTATGCTCCTGTCCTGTGGCGAAACCTTCTCCTTGCTGCACAATTTTTGTCAAGTTGGTGACATCATACTTTAAATTCTGAATGGTTTCGTCTGCAATTAGTTCCTTCTTGTGAGCAGCATCTAGCATTTCCCACGCTTTCTCTATTTCCTAAAACCAGAAAATATTTTGAGAGCACACTTCTGAATATTTGACTGGGTGAGAAAAGAAAAGTTTATTTTATCTGTCCATCTAATTCAGCACCATGCTGTAGGTCCCAGAGAACATACCTGTTTCAGGGAATTTATAGTGGTTTGATCTTCTTGGGATAACTTCAGTGCCGTGTTGATTTTGACAGAGTTGGATGCTATTTCTGCATTTAACTCCCTGCATTTTGTCATAAGTCTCTTCTCATTCTCATGGGACTTTTTTAAGGCCTTGGTCAGTTTTTCATATTCAATGCGAAATTTTTCTAGATGTTTGTCTCTACCAAGTTCATTAAGAACCTCCTGGGTCTCCTTTTCCAGCTTCTCAAAGGAGTTCTCTTCCTTTAAACAAAAAGTCAAAACTGGTATTAACATTTCGTCTCATTTTTGAAAACATACATTTTGTGTTTTGATCACAATAAGCCGCTCAGGGTTAGTAAAGTGTTAAATGGAGCATCTAACCAAAAAATTGCAAGCCAGTTGTACTCTGCTATTTCTGTAAATGGATCACCACACTACAGGGTGTGTTAAGTGCAGGAATTATAAAGACAGCTGTAAGGGAATTCTAGTACAAATTAACCTTGTTAACTTTGCTCATAGTTTAAACATGATTCTTATATGATGAAGGACATTGATTTGTGCAGTTGGATGCATTTCTGTCATTACCCACCAAAGTCAGATATACTGTACCATTACCATTGTAGTAACAAGCTTGATTATTATTTTAAAAGGGAGACAGACAGATTTCAACATTCAATTCATATTCTCAAATGTCTGATAGAAGTTTATGGTACGGACTCTAAAACATGACAGAGTAAATGAATGAAGTCAGAATGAAAGAGACATTAACAATTTCTTTTTGTTCATATCATTAACTTTGATCTAGTTACCTTGGTACTTTGTGTTAGTCTTGTGATACGAGTAACAAATACTACCATTACAACACAGTAGGTACATTGTCTACTAACAAAGAGCACAGACATTTCAGGAGCAGTGTAATTGTTATGGTACCATGAGATATTGTGCTTCCATGATAACCAAGGGCATATATTAAAGGTGTTGAAGCAGCAGGCCAAAATTTCTCAGGAGGACACATTTTAAAAGCATAGTGTGCAAAAATGCATCCAGACCACTGGGTTAGTGTGAACTGTGGGCAAGGATCAGATTGAGTTGTTTTTTCGTATTGGGTATTGCCAACTTCAGTACCATATTTTTTTTTAAAAAGGCATTCCTGTTTTCAGGACCAGTGTAATTCTCAGCAAAGGAGCTGGTACACCGGACATCTTGGTTATGTAGCGTTAAAGTGTGGCCAACCTCTTATCAACCAAAAAAAGGACTTATCAACAACAAGTTCGTAACCATGCCATGTCAGAAACATTTTGTTTTTGTAATTCCTTTATACTACTTGGACAAATCAATGCAGTGGAAAAACTTAAGAATGTGTGCAGTGAGACAATGACAGAAATAAGAGTTAAGGAAGCTGATTTCTTACAAAACAATAGGAATATGCATGTACAAAACGTTCTTTTTGTTACTGATACAGTAAGGGGAGCCCTGAAAGATCCCTGTTGCATAAAAACTGCTGTAAAATAGTAATTAACACAAAATCAAAAAAGATTAATAAAGATTTTTTTTACCTTTACTCCTATGAAATATCTAAACCATGGAGTAGTTAACTAGCTGGCTAAGTAATTGACCCATCCACCTGAAGACGTGAAAAAAAGCTTACCTCCGTCATATTTAGTGGGCTCGTGTCCTTGACGTTTATTGAACGTCGATGTAAAAATAATGTAATGTAAGGAGAAATCCCTAATGATTTATAAAATCTTATATAAATATTGTTCTGTCACAACTGTTCATTAGCGCGTGGATCAGGGACTTCGGCAACTATGTGCGTCCTTGTTTCCAGGAGACCACGCAGGTCCACGGAATGACGTGATGACGTAATTTGAGTCGCGCGTTCTCCTTTAATCCTCCCACCCCAAGGACCGAGAAGTTCCCAGAGACTGACGCGTGGCGAAAAATGTAGCTATGAGTTCCCTAGATAACGTGATGCTCCGGCCTTATTTCGAAGCAGGCCGTCAATTTCATGATCAGTAGTAAAGTAGACTTAACTGAACGAGTAACTTGCGGACGTTGCAAAGTAAAATCTGCAAGTGTTTTCAACGTACTGCTTTGATGAATTGGAGACGGCAGTACATATTGCCATAGAGAGTCATTTACTGATTATATTGATAGTGTTTGGTATTATAATAACAATAATAATTATTATTGATGTTGTTTATTTTGTTGTTATATGGGCTTGCAGTCTATTGTTATTATATTGCAATGCCTTAAACACAACACATCTAAATATTGGCCTGCAGGGTTAACTTGCTGTATAATACTGCGCCTATATATACATATGCATATTAATGGTAAAGGATAACAGAAAAGTCCAGTAGGGTAGGCTGGGCGGGACAATGAAATATCAGAATAGGAGTGAACGTTTTTTTATTATTATTATTATTTTTTTTTACACTAGATGGCACCTTAACACAGGTTAGCTAATGAATAAATACTTAATTCAAATAATTATATTCTGCGTCTGGTATGTCATGTTCTGTTTATTAATTTACGTGCGTGTTTGACAAGAACAGCCAGTAACTTCAACCAAAATCACTTTCATATCTCCGCTATTAATTACTTCTTCAGACTTTGAGAGTCAACTACTTTAAAAACACAAATGTGAGTAATTTCCGAAGCGTTCCTCTTACAAAGAACGTACATCCGTAATACTAAATTCGAAATATATTTTTATTTGTTGTGTGTCTGTGCTTTAACTTAAGTTTACGGAATTGGCTGCGGTTTATATTTACATAAGATGAATGATCGCCCGGGGAAAGAAGGGTGACTTACGTTTGAGAGCTCATCAACGTGGACTAGACACGTACTGGTATGTCTGAATAAATAACGAAAACAGCCGAGCAGTACAAAACAGAGGAGTATGTATACCACGTACCACGCTGAATAACAATTCAATCATTGGTAAATATCGATACAAATACTCCATGATGTTTTATCTTTGTCAGAGTGGTATGCCTGACTTAGAATGCTGAAAAAATGAGTTTTGAGGGAGGTGCTTATACCTATACTTATTCATGCGAACAACAGTTCATTGACCTGCTGCTGGTCTTTTTTCTTTTTTTCCCCTCCTTCCAACAACCGGTGTCTTCTGGGTGACGTTTGTACTAAAAATGGTTCATTAAAACGTTTTTTTCCCTTCTTCTGCTTCTTCCCAGAGAATCTCTATGTAGTTCTGTGTACGGTGTTTCACCGTGAGCATAACAAAACTGAATGAGCAAGATATTCAGTAAAGCATTAAGATTTGGACTGAACACCTGGCCTTTTGTAGATCAGGCATGGGGAATAGCGTCTCGGGCGTCCCGTCTTTGCAAAGAGGACACCAAAGCAAATTTCAAAGATTTCCAAACTCTTACAAAGGTAAGTAAATCTACAAACTTTACTACCTCGACAATGTCAGGTCTTTGTGAAATGAGTTGGTATTTGGGACTACAAATGCAATAATATTTACAAATAAATAAATGGTTGGAATATATTTAATAGGCTGTAGAATATAATTTTGGAATGTATGTTGCCCTTCCCTTGTGCGCTACCGTCTTATATTATTCTCTTGGAAACACTGTAACGTGGACATAAATAGATCATTATATAAGGAGTTCATTCTGTCTGCTGCTTACGCAATACACGCGTAAATTAATTGATAAAACGCGTGTTTACGTGACAATGAGAGTCATACTGATGAGCTGCTTTTGAAGTGTACGGCTCTGAAGCCTGTGAATGTTAGATTAAAACCAAAGCTCGTTTTGAGTGGTAATACACCGACATGGCAGCCATGCTACTTGAGAAAGTGTGGTGCTGAAGGACAGCGCCAGAGAGTAGACAGTAAAGTTTGTCTCATTATGTTAAATTTTAATCTTTTTTATTGTTTTTTTTTACCAAGTAAATAAAGCTGTCGATTTTTTATTCCCTGTAACGGTCAACTTTGCTTTGACTCGAATAAGAGAAAAAGAAAGTGAAGAATACCGCAGTCCTAATGTTAACGGGAGAGGCGATCACGTGATGCGTCATTCGCGTCAAACTGAGTGGGAGCAGAGGAGACATGAATATCGCAGCTACAGGTACAATCCCTGAGGCTGTGACAGAAAACAGTGGCTGCATTTATGTGACGCATATATCACCGTCCTGAGCATATATGACAAGTGCTTTTAAAGTTTCATATGAATCTGAATTAAGTTAATTATAAATGTAGCCCCATAAGCTAACAGTAATATATGCAAGATAAAGTGACATTGAGAAAGGTAAATGAATACAAAATGTTTCAACTAGTACTAGAGTGCTGCAGGTGCCATTGATAAGCAACAGATTAATCATTCATGTTTTGATTTTTATAGTGGAAAAAAAATCTTTCTTTCTCACATGCCTACAAAATACATGAATGTTCCTAAAAGAAACTCGGAAGGACGATGAAACGATTCCACGCCAAAATAAAGGTGGGGGTGACACCGGATCAATGAGTAGCACTGTGGCCTCAACACCTGGCCCTGTGTGTCTGTTCTCTGGTTTTCTCCAGTAGTCCAAATAAGTGCAGCTGTCACCAGTGAAGACCTGGCAACCCATTCAGGGTACCTTCTGCCCTGTGTTTTCTTGGATGGATTCCAGGTTCCCTGTGACTGGATAAGTGGCTATGGACGCATGGATGGATGGATGGATGGATAAATGGATGGAAAATGTATTAAAGAATTATTATTATAAATAAGAAAATAATGGACCATAATAAATCTGAAGTGTTGCTTAGTTGCTTCTGGCTTTGGCAATTACTGTGCTGAGGGGAAGTTTGTCATCCGAAGCCATTCACGGTAGTTTTATTTTTTTCTTTCTTTCTTTTTTTTTTTTCTAGTGTGGACATTGGGTCTATGTGGAGGAGAGAGAAGGAATGATGTGAGGTGTGGGCGTTTGGAATTCAGGGGCCAGGGAATTAGCACAGAAAAGCAATTTATAGTGTAAATTTGTGTAGCCTCATTTGCAGAGTACATCAGCATGCAAATGGAGGAAGAAACAGGGCCAGAGCAAATTGCTATGCACTCTCATCAGGCAGGAAGCAGGGTCATTCCAGAGCAGAGGATAATCCTACCAGTAATGAGAGACAGGTTCTTGCACCTGAAGTACTCAGCTGCCACAAGCCATTCTTTTCTTCAATCATATATAATAGGATAACTATATTTACAAAGTGCTTAGTTCCTTTACAGAATTTGTAAGGTTACTCCAGTCCTGTATTAAACGATGTCACAGTAATAAGGTGACGGTTAGGCATTAGAGAGAGAGTTAGACGCAATGCAGTTTTTTGTTATTTGCAGTTATCGAACTGCACTTTAAAAAATACAGTGTTTTGAAACCTTGATGTGCATGAAAAATGGAATGGTTGTACCACCTGGTGCTTGTAAACAACACATAAAAATAGAGAACCGGAGGAAAAAAAGGGTTTTTTTTATTTTTTTGCGGTGAACACCATTTGCAATCAATCTGCCACTTTGTGGGAGTGCGCTACACGATGTACCACATTGACTGGAGTAATGTTTTCATTTTGGCTGGTATGTGGCAGCAGGGTTGTGTGCTGTTGCCTTAGAACATTGGTTGGCAACATTTGAGCAGACGGATAGATGGACATCGTCTGATAAAATTGTACTCCCAGTGCTACAATGTACTGGGCTCCTGTACTTTTTAGAGACAGAAATGCCTAATTTTGGCAACATTCTGAAGGGCATAACAAATAATTTATATTCCTTTTAAGCAAGCTACCTGGAATAACTGATTCTTAATGAACAGGTCTGGAGATCCTAAATAGCTATTACCTTCAGTTGAACGTATAGAGTGCAATCAATTGCTGTTACCTTGGAGACTGATATTTTCATTAAACAAGTCTTAATCAGGGAGTTTGGTTCTAGCAGGAAGAGAATGAAAACACAAATGGATTATTTGCTTAGTTTGAATCAATAAACAAATAATACATTATTTGTATAAAATAACCTGTGCCCACGAAAGTTGTTTGTTATTGAATTGGCTGAAACTGAAAGAACGCAAATGCATATGGCATGAACAGTGTGTGTTTAAAGTTTATTATGAGTATTGGACAAGTAAAATATACGCAACTGCTTTAATACTTGTAAATACATTAGCAATCACATCAGATTATATTCTAGAAGACACGGGTAGGTAATTTGATGTTTAAAGTTTACGTTTGAAGATTTAGATGGCATGTGATAGAAATAGTTGAAAATGAGTTTTGAAATAGGTTTAACACATTACTGTTTGGTGGCGTTCTTTGTCAGCCGTCAAAATTACAAGTGAAGGCCTAAAGCTTTGTTTGTAGTTATAAAAATATACATGCTTTTGTGTGTGTGTGTGTGTGTGTGTGTAGGGGGGAATATGTGGGGAACAATGCCTTGTTTGTAATTATGTAAAAATATACATGCTTATATATGTGTGTGGGGGGTTATGTATATGAACCATTGTGGGGACAATTTTTATAAACATCTGTGACTGCAATCAAAAAACTAAAAATGCCAACAGTTTTGTATTTTGCTTGGTTAAGGTTATGGCTGGGTAGGGATTAAGGTTGTCACTGTTGGGATTAGGTTTTTATAAAGAAATTAATGGAGAGTCTCCACAAATATATAATTAGAAATCTGTGTCTGTGTATTTGTGTGTGTGTGTGTGCGTGTGTGTGTGCATGTGTGTGTGTTTTTTTACTCTAATATGGTCCTACTACAACGCTGCTACGAGACTGTGCCACAAGGCTAAAGCATACCTCACCTTCGAAATCATCGTTTTTAGTCCTGTAATATTCAGACAGGGAGAGCATTTTGAGTGCAACCAAGTAGAGTTTTTCTTCTGCTGTCGCAAATTATAGTCAGTCACTGCAGGAGGCAGTTGCATTACTACCCTTATAAGACGTCCAAATCTGTTTATTGAACAAGTGCTCATAAGCACAGTTGCATTTTCTTTCAATAAAAAGGAACAGATATAAGCATAGCCGGGCACTTTTTATAGTGCTCTGTGTGAAACCTGTAAAGCACATTACATCTGCAGCCTGTTCACAATCATGTGAATGTGTAAAAATCAGATATGAGCAGAAGTCCAGAGGAATTGCATATTAATCCAAAGGAGGTACCTATTCAGCCATGTTTCCTTGACAACAGAGTGTGACATGTAAACTGTTTCCATGGCAATTATTCCTGAGAGCTATCAACAGGAGATAATAATAGAAGGGAGACAGAAATGTGTGATCCGGCACTCCGGCAGTACTGTTAAAGGAACATACGTGTTTTTGTAATATTCATTATAGGTCTTTGCTTTAGTTATTTTTTCTTTGGGTTGATCTCTGTTTTCTGGCCTCTGTCAAAGATTTCAAACAAGAATGTTCCATTGATTGTATTTATTTATTCCACCAGGCTCCAAGAGTTTGGCTCTTAGAAAGGGTTTGCTGTACCCATGATGTCAGAGCCACATTGTTTGCCAAGGCAGATATGTTGATGAAACTCTGTCATGATGATCTATGTAACGTTTTCTGTACTGAGATGGCTTTAATATGTGTTTCTATTACAGTCAGCCCTGGAATATACTTGCTTTACACTCCCAAATATCAATTCAAATTCCAGACTTCAAAAAGTTAGAAAGTCATGCACTTTTCTTAACTGAAGATTCTTACTTGGCTAACATGGTTGATATAAGCATATATATGGCAAAAAAAAAAGTTTTCCTTCGCATTCTCTTCGCTCGATACACTCTGTAAATGAGTTGGAACAACTGGCAATGTAAATGTAAAATAAGAATGTGGAACACAGACTAGAGGAGCGATTACCACGGAGCTGGGCTCACACCCATGACGATCTGTGGGCAGAAATGCCACAACGCTACAGCTGTCCCTTGAATCTTGAGTCACGCCCGAACTGAGGTCTTCTCAACTCCATGAGGAGACGACGGAATACAAATTGCGTAATGGGTACAAAATGTTACTGAAGTGTGGACACCAGGCATACAAAAGAGGCATTCAAGCCAATCTACATGTGCTTCTTATAAAGCCTAATCTACCTGCAGAATTTGTAAGCAAGATAATTATAAGATAATAAGTGTAACTAATCTCAGCTCTTTTCTCAATTATCTGTATATACAACTCTGTTGTACAAGTTCTTCATTAAAATACAAAATGTAATTTATGGCTTATAAAACCATATAATTTGGAGAGTGCTAAAGCATGCAAACAATTTACCAAAAAATTGTGGAAGCTTGCAGAAAACTATACCTTGCAATTAATTTAAACCTCCATGCTTTCATCCTTTAATTTCCAGATCACCATGCTCCTAAATCAGTATGCATTTGTTTAATAAATGATGCAGCCATTGAATAGATAAAGAGCAATACAC